ACGCTCAAAGAGATTAAATAATTTGCCCAAAGTCACAAAGCTAATAAGTAGCAGAGTCAAGACTTGAACTTAGTTTTGCCTAACTCCAAAGCCCATACTGCTTCTTCTTCTTCTTCCTAGTGGTGTTAACTATGGCAACCTTCTTGTGTCTTTATTTCACCTTAATTCATGACATGGTGTTTAACTGTGTGTCCTGGCTGTGTCTCTATACATTCACAAAAAGATAGAGAAAAATTTCCCAGAAGACTTCCTTTTGTCTTTTCTTTTCCTGCATTTACTTTCTATTCCTATACAAATTATTGTTTTAGGGTGATTTACCAGGCTACACCTAAAAGTCTGCCATATCACATTTCAGCAATTGATATATACCTAGAGCATGAAAGTTCTGTTTCCTTCCTTGTACATTTTAATAGCCATAGTTTTTGAGCATGGTATAATTTTCTAAGCTGGTTCTTGCCACTTGAAGAGTGTTAGTGCCTAGTACAATGCCTCACACACAGTAGGTGCAGAGGGAGAATATTTGTTGATTCGATGATTAAGAAAAGATTTCTTTATTCCTCTAGTTATCTTGCTATATTTAAATCAAGAGACTTTACAGGAGTTCAATTCTAAAAATGAATTCTTTTGCATTAAAGATAACTTTTTGGAAAATTTGAAAATGAATCAGAAAAAAGGTAAATTAAATATAACCATCTAGTGTTTAAGTCCCTAAATGACTAACATAGTAGACTATGAACTTAAGAGTTTAAAAGGCTTGGTTTAAAAATACTGTTATTCTGAATAACATTTGCAATTGCTTCTTGCCCTCCTATAGAAAAAAAAAAGACTGAAAATATACAATAAAACACAGATAACTGTTTTGCTTAGGATAGCTAAGACTAAGGATGACTTTTTCCTGTTTTTTTTTACATATATTAAAATTTTTCTGTAATAAGAATGTGTTCTCTTTATAATTATGGAAACTGATCTCACTCTGGATAAACTTTGCATCTTTAACACTTTCTATACAGTGTGGGGTTATTTTCTTTCTCAGACATAATCAATAGGAATTATGTATTCATTAAGTCATGCCTGTGCCTCCAGAACTTGTTACATAACATCAGCACATTAAAGATAATTATTTTTCTCTCCATTCATGGAATGTTTTTCTTGCTTTAGGTGGCTATGTCTCTATCTTTGTATTCTTTTCAAGCAGATGGGGATTTCTGGTATAATTTCTATAGAATATCAATAGTCAATCTTTTCTTGGTAATGAGCACAAGAATGACATCTGGCCTTGATACAGCCCCAAACTATAGGTCTTTTAACTTCATGTGTGTTGTCTTTTCAATGACATTAACGTACTTTAATCACAGTGGAACCCAAATGGAATGAGCTACTTTATGTAGTAGGAAGTTCCCTACCAACAGACATATTCAAAGCAAAGATCTCCCATAAGGGGATTCCTGTGCTGGGAGGCTGTACAGCTGAATTTTATGGCCACCTTCCCTTTCTAGGATTTTAAAATAAATTTTCTGACAAGTCTACTATAGTAATACAATGGATTGCATACTGGTCTCTGTTGTGTCAAGTCCTTTTCTCAGCTCACTGTTCAAATCAACCCAGAGAAGATTCCCTTCTGATCCAGTTTGACTTAGCAAGCTATCTGATTAATTCTTGTGGAGACCAAATTCCCATAATTATTAACAGATCCTTGCTACTTGAAATTACCGAAATGTGCTAAAACAATGTAGTCAGCAAAATGTCACTGTATGTCTTACATATGGATCTGTTGCAGCCTGTAAAACACTGTCTCTGTGAGGGACAGCCAAAATGAAGAGTTATGTGGGAGTAATAAAATATGACAACTAGGCCTGCAACCTCAAGAATAAACCCAGCTGCGCATGCACACACACATCTACAAGAAAGCCTGCTGATAACAAAAGCAAAAAAAAACCCAAATGATGTCCAGCATGTGCACACTTCATGGCAGGGCTGGTCCGGGAACTGTCCTTTAAGCACCACAGCAAGAAACCAGGGAACTGTCCTTTAAGCACCACAGCAAGAAACCAGGGAACTGTCCTTTAAGCACCACAGCAAGAAACCCTGGTGCAAGCCTAAACCCAGGCACCCAAAGCTGGACCATGAGAAAAATTTGTTAAAGCTCCTACAAAGAAAGCAATAAGCGCTGTATGGGTGTTTGTTTTTAAGTATGCTATATTCTACTTCATAATCCTTTGTTAATTTAAAATAAAATCCTTTAAGTACTTTGATAAAAGTTGACAAAACCACAAATGAAAACCAAAGGTATACTAAGTCTGCCTCTCAAACTGAACCCAAGAAACCAATAATTGGCCTACACCATCAGGAACTGCTTTACAATCTCCACCACCAGCCCTACTAAGAAACACAACACATTTACACATACCCTAAATCAGATGTTGAGAACATAGAACATGCTCAGAGCCCTCTCCAGGGAGAGACTCAATTTCTAGGACAGACAATGCTTGCTGAATACCAAACCATCACTACCACCCCCTCCTCCCAAGCAATCAAATTCTCTTTCAGGGAGAATTGAAAGCCTTATGGGTCATGAGTTCCAAAGAAAAAAATGCTGCAGTATTTCAAGAACCAGGTTACAGGCAACGTGCTACAAAGCTTTCAGCAGTTTAAGTCTGATTCCCCCGAGATTCCTACCAGAATGGTACCGGATGCTAATGTTCTCCAGCCATTTGCATTACACATCAATATATATATTTTTTTGGGGGGGGAGAAAAAAGTTCCCCCACCCCCATTATCTTCTAATGCACGTGGAGGAAAGAGAAGTACAGAGAGATGGGGAAACAGTGAAAGCCCACCACACCCAAAATCTTTGGAAAGCTAAAACATCCCCCAGCCCTAACACACCAAAACCTCTCTGAAGGCTCTCCAGGTTCAAACTTGAGAAAATAGTTATAAAAAGCACTATCCCCCTTTGCTCCCAAAGCCCTCACCCTCATTTCCTGCTTCAATTCCTGCTTCTCTGGTGCCCACTAAATTTTCCTTGTGTGGTAGAGTTTGCTCCATGCTAATTATTTCTCCCTCTCCCTGGATTAGCCAGATGCAATGCCAAGTTTCTCCCCCCTCCCCATACAGATGACATTCTTTTATTATGAACACAGATGCCGAGAATCTTGGAATCTCCCGATATAAAATGTATTCCCCCGTGTTTCAAAAACTGCAGTGTAAGTGAGGAAGAGGGCACAGGGTGGAGTAGTTGGAAGGAATGCATGGTTTGAAGAATCATATTTGTCAGACTGAAAAATGATTTCTACCCCACCAGACCTTTAAGCTGGGGCCTCTAAAGGGGTCTGAAAGCCCCGGCTAACCCCCCGAAAGTTAACTGCCAAGTCTCCACCGGTGGTTGCCGCAGGCACGGAGGGGATGGAGCTGAGCTCTGAGGAAAAATGCAGAGGCTTTGCGGTCCCCCAAGTACCAAGAGAGAACTAGAGAGGAGGGGTCTGTGGAGTTGGGCAGTCCTGTAAGCCAAACGCTAAGAAGCCCGGGGTGCTGCTGATTGTGGTAAGGTGGGGGAGGGAAGGGAGAAAGGAGGAGAGGAAAAAGCTCTGCATCGGGTGGCGTAGGGTTGGGGGTGGGGGAAGGGGGATATTCTGAAAGTGATGTACTCCCTAATGCAGGAATCCTAGCCTGCCGAGGAAGGTCCCGGGGGCCCCCAACACAGCCCCAGAGCACCCTGTCAGGAGGGGGACGGACGCATCCGAGTAAAGAACAGGGGGAGTCCTGGCTGCCCTAAGAACCCAGGAGCTCCTGGCTTCTGCAGTTGGTAACGATCTGGAGCCGGATGGGGGAGAAGGATGCAGTAAGACATGGGGGAGGGGGTAGAGCTGAGGGGCTGCTGTAGGAAGATCCCGACAGCGCTGCCCTTCCCAGTGCAACCCCGCGAGGGGCCCCGACTCTGTCCCGGCCCTTGGAGGTGGGGGGAGGGGGGCTGCACCACGGAAGGGGCGCCGAGGGCAGGCCAGTGTCTCCCAATGCAGCCAAGAGACAAGAAGAGCGAGGGTGTATGGGGGTGGTGGCCAGTGGTCCTCAACTCTCCTCAGGGATCCCCGGTAAACACGATAGAAGGAAGCAAGACTTCCAAACACCTGTCCAAAACAGGGAGGACAGAAACCCAGCTCCATGGCCCCTCGAGCCCCGCCGCGCACTCTGCGGCAAAGCCCCCGACCGGAGATGGGCGAGCCCCGCTCCGGGGTCCCGAGGCGAGAAGGGGAAGCCGGCGGGCGAGGAGCGGGGCCGGGGCGGGGGCTCCGGGGCGACTTACGGCAGCGGCGTCGAGGG